TGACATTTATCAGTGCTTGCTTATCAATGCCACATCAATTTTGCACTGTTTATATATTTAAATAACTGTTTCATGAACACCCAGTGACTTTACAACTGCTACATATTGGCAAAAAAGGCAGAAAATCACCAAAAAATGAACAAGTAAATAAAAAGATTTTAAAACATTGAAAGTGAATATTAAACAAAACAAAACAAAGATAAATGACATTTATGATTCAGTTTTGCTGTCTGTGTTTTGAAAATCATTTCTATTTCATTGTATGAATGCATGCAGGTTCTAAATCTTTCTTTCTGCAATTTCTCACATAAGAAAGAACAACAGGAGTTGCCTAAATTGAAAATAACCACAAAACAAGCTGTAACAAAAGCAAGAAAGCTTCAGAGAAGAGAAAACAAAACTAAAAGAATCACAGAGACCTCATTGCAGTTTTAAACCGTGATTTTTACTGTTTTACTTATCTGTTTTATTAGGTTGAGTTGAAAATCTAAGGTGTATTATGAATTGTCCCTGACAAAGCAATTTATACAGAACTTAGGAATAGTCTAAGAAACAAAGAGTGAGCTTTAGTTTGTATGAATACAACTGAATAATCTTTTAGAATGTGTCATTGCAGATTATTCTAAAGAAATTATTATGTCATCGTACACAGCTTGGTTTATTTTGTCATGATGTAGAACATACCATAAGAATCACATTTAAATAAAATACAATCCTTTACTTAAATTCATTACTGATTGTGAAGTATCAAAAGAAAAGAAGACACTGTGTTTATTTATTAGTCAGTTTTAGCACATTCTGAAACCAGTAAAACACACATATTTTGCTGATATGGACCTCAATAACTTGTAAAGGGAATCAAAATGACAGTTCTCAGCATCTATTTAGGTCTCTAGCACCAATTTTGCACTGTTTCAATGTTAAAAACAGTTTTATGATCAGTTAAATAACTTTAAAACTGTTATAAATTTGGCAAAAATGGAAGGGAATCCAAGAATAATGAACAAATGGAAAAGATGGCTCATGTCAGTTTTATATCATCCAACATTTGATGCATTATTTCTGAAATTGGATTGTTAAACTTAATTTGAAAAATAAAAGGATCTGAGCTACATTTGTAATTTCATTTTGAAAGTGCTAACATTTCATTCCTGCATTTCTCACATAAAAAAGCCTTGAGAACAAAAAAAACAAATAACCACAAAACAAGTTGTAACAAAAGAAAGAAAAAAATTCACCAAGAACTCACTGAAAAGACCTCGCTAAAGAAGTCCAGACGCTTTTCTTTCCATGCTCTGTAGACCTCATTGACGTTTTCAAAGAAATCTCAGTCTGACAGATTTTGATATCAGAGGTTTTGGCGTCTCCTGCTTCTCCAATACCCAAATATGGGAAGAGTTTCTCAGTGAAAGTGTCTCTGTGAGTGTAGATGTGAGTCATGTCTTCAGGGTCATAGAAGGATACCTCCCCCCTGTCATAGTCCAGCTGGACTCTGATCCTCTGGAGACTCTTCTTCACTGTCACAGTCTCACCAACAACATTAGTATATTTTCCACTACGATAAACTAAACACCAGATTCCACATTTTGGTAAAGTAGGACACTCTCCCTTCCTCTCAACTGACTCTTTAACTAAACCCACATTCCAGACAGGATGGTCTCCCACCTCCACTTCCCAGCTGTGTTTCCCTGAGTTGAAGCCCTCAGAGCCAAAAACAGTGGCATACTTAGTGTTTCTCTCTGGATTATCAGGAAGCTGCTGCCATGTGTCTCCAAATCTCACACTGGTCAGATCATCAGACAGATAGAGAC